TGGAATTCTGGAAGTCCGTATCTCTTAAAATTGCTGAGAACTGGATAAAAAATGTGGAACTTTGTTACTATATATGTTTAGAGCAGCAAGACTATTGCATGTGCAAACATGTCAATTCCTACTTTGGAAGAGTGGTTGCAGAAGTTGATGGAGTTGTGGACTTCAACTCCAAGAATTCCTCTTCTTGCTCTTCATCTTGATGATGTGCTGACGGGCAAGGGGAGGGAGCTGGAACCGGTTCTAAATGGCATGGTAGATTTGTGGAACCTCTTCTATAGAAGAGGTTAGAACTGGCAGGAACCCACCCCTGGCTCAAAGTCACCCACGTGGCTTTCATGCCTAAGGGGAGGCTAGATCGCATAGTCTCCCAGTGTTTAGCCTGGTGCCTGAACAAATTGGCTTTCTTATTTCCAGGTAAGTACGCTTAAGACTTCTAATCCCTTTTAATCAGTATGTAATCCTGCAAGAGTTTATTACTGTTGAGCTAGAGAAGAAGGAAGTTAAATAAGAACAAGGCTCTCTATTCTGTTGGGAATCTTATTTTTGGGAATGGGGACTCTAGACCAATGTGTGAAGTCCACAGATAGAGTTTCTCCATCCATCAACTTACACATTTTTCTATTGCTTTAATATTCGGTGAAACTCTTGTGCTTTTAAAATAATTCTTCCATTAAAAAAATAATTTTATTTATTTGGGGTATATTTGTTCCATATATGATATCTCAGGTAGAGAAGAAATAACATGGTGCTTCAAATATAAACCTGAATTTTACTTTCAATAAATGAATTTGAAGTGCGCAAATAATTAATTGTAGCTATTTTGAATGCAATTAACTGCTAAGTTGCTCTTACTGATATTTAGTGGTATGTAATTTGGTTGCTTTCCTTCCTTGTGTTCCCAAATAAGCAGATCTTTGATTTCATGATCAATGAAGAAAAAAAGGGTATTTCTTAATACAATTAAATCGTCCTTATTTTCTAAGACTCCGGGAATACTCCTTTCCATTTATTATTGGGTGGGATATTTCACCGTATTTTTTGAGATCTGTACCTTCTGAGCTTTGAGAAAATAAATCCAGCTTTTTATTGTTTAATATTTCTAGAGCTGTTTTAAGTGGAATTGTTCTTGACATTAGATAAGAGGGCTTGACAGATAAAGAGGGCTTAGACCACAATAAAAACTATTTCATGTGGCTTCATTCTTTCTCTACAATACGGATTCTTATCAAGGCAAACTATAGTTCTGAAACCTTTGCTGAATCCTCATTTAGAAAACAAGTTTATATATAAATATTCCTGGCAGGAGGAAATCCCACAGATTAGCCTTGTGATTTCCAAAAACATCAAGATATTTTTTTCTGATAATTTGCTGATCTTGAAAAGTGGCATATAACTGGCATCAAATGTACAGATAATACTCACCTTATGACTGATTGCTTAACAACCACTAGAAATTAAAACAGGCCCAGAATGATGGTTTATGGCCCATAAAGCCTTTCTGACAGTTGTAAAATGTGCGCTTAGCAACTGGCTTGTCTTTACAATGGTAATCCCAGTTTCATGTGACCATAATTTGCAAATTCTTTTGCCACTTTCTGGCAAAAAAAAACATTCAGAAGAATTGGTTCACACTTATGACAACCACATTTGCTTAAAAACCACTGCAAAAAAAGTTGTAAAAGCGGGACCAGTCATATGGGTGCCTTGATTTACGACTGTAACAATTTACAACTGGAAATCTGCTCCCAAATGTGTGGTTGTTCCCTCAAAATCTACCTGTATCTTGAAACTGTTTTGGAAATCTCAGTGTAAAACATGGCTGCTAAAGAGTTAATTGGGGTTGGCTGTGAAGGTTCGTTATGCTAATCATTTCCAATTCCCAGTCAGACT